TGAATGTTTTCCCACTTTGGTCAGGAGATACAGCAACTATTAATATTACCAAGTGTACAGTTCTTTCTTTTTAGGGAAGGTAATTAAATTCTGTGGTATACTTCCTAAATGACTTAAAGTAAAAAGTGAAAATAATTCCATCCCTCTGCAAGAAGTTGTTTCTCTATCTTGATATGTCAGAAGGCTGAAAGAGATTTGTTGGCATTTGCATAATTTCGCAGAGTAATTTCTCTTGGAATATGCTTGGTTGACCATCAAATAACTACAGGACTTTGGAGTAATATAATTTCTGAAATCTTCTAGTTACACAGTCAGCCCTTTGATTCTGTGGGGAAAAAGCAATTAAGAAAGTTTTTGCTTCATAGGGACATGAATGCATGACAAGAAGTAATGGCAAATAGTGTTGAGTCCCTTGTGTGGGGCTCAGTATTGCTTTTTCTTTGGTGGTTTTATTTATAATAATAAATTTGAGCATTCTGGACCTGATTCTAGTTAGTGTTTCATATTGTTTAGATAACCTTTACAGATATATAAATATATATATATATACACTGACAAACTAGTGCATAAATTGTTTCAAATGAAGAGAATTATTTAAGTAACTCTATCAATCTCTAAAATACTCTAGTATTAGTTTTAAGAATAAAAGCATTATGTAAGAAGAGGTATATTACATTCCAGTACTTTCTCTGTCTGATTATCATTAAAGTCTGCAAGACAGTTGTGTGTTTATAATGACATGCACAAATTTGGAGTGTCAATGAATAATACTTCTGTACATGATCTTTCCCGTTCTTCATCTTCAGGGCACTGCACAACTTAATTTATACATCAAGAAGTAATTTTATTTTGTTGCTTAAAATAATTTTTGTTTTTAATGTAAAAAATTCTGTTGGGAAATTTAATTTTGAAAGCTTTTTTTCTAAATAATGGAGCACTCCCATGTTGATTCAATTTCTCCCCCCTTTTAGACAGAAACCACATCTGCCCTTATTTTGGCACCAACAAGGGAGCTGGCGATTCAGATAGAGAGACAAGCTAAGGAGCTGATGGCTGGTTTACCAAACATGAGAACAGTTCTCCTGGTGGGAGGTTTGCCACTGCCTCCACAGCTTCACCGGCTCAAGCAAAGTGTGAAGGTGAGGACTTGGAGTGGGGAGTTAGATATTCATGACATTCACCCAAAAGAAGAATGTTACTGTTGACATGGATGAGCACTCAAGAATGGGTTTTTCTAAGTCTAAGCTACTCAAATGTTTGTTATCTTTTGAAAATTTTACAGTAATACAATTTTTTAAAAGCATTTTGACTTCTAACTGAACATATTTTTTTGTTTGTTTATTTGTTTTAAAAGGTTTCACAGGTGATATTGCTGCTTTCAAAGACTGAAATATACCATTTTATTAGACAGGGAGTTGTAATTTACAGCAAAAAATAGTCTGTTTTTCATGCAGATTATACTGCTTATAATTTAGACATGTCCATTGGGAGTTCTGAAAGGTCTATTTCCTTTTGAGCCTCTATAGTTTATTAAGTTATTTTTAAAGTTTTAAGACTTATTTGAATGCAAGTAATTTCACGGATTATAGCCCTTGTTATATCTACGCTGTAACTGGATAGTTTTTCTAGGAAAGTCATCTGTTGTTTTGTGGAATTTCTAACTCCTGGGTTATTTTTTGTTTTGTTTTGGGTTTTTTTTATAGGTTATAATAGCAATGCCTGGAAGACTTCTTGAGATTTTAAAGCAGAGTTCTGTTCAACTGCATGGCATAAAAATTGTAGTGGCGGATGAAGTAAGTTTTTATTTATCAGAGCTGTATTTCCTTGAAGAGCCAGTGTGAGTGGCTGGTCTAACTGATTAAACATGCAGTGTGTTTGTTATAAAGAGGGAATTTTATTTATTTTAATACAATTTGAAATGTGTTTGAACAACTCCTATTGTTCATAAAAGACTTAGATACCTGACAGGGTGATACTGTTAGACCAGTGTGAACCATTTGTTTTTAATTTTCTCACCTTCGGACTGTAAATACTCCTTTATCATACACATTATGGTTCTTCTGTCAATTCAAGTTCAGGGTCCTGCTCTTCATGGAAAAATCTGATAAAAATGAATATTTTTCACTTAGGTGGATACCATGTTAAAAATGGGTTTCCAGCAGCAAGTGCTGGATATTTTGGAAGACATCTCTCACGATCATCAAACCATACTGGTGTCAGCCACGATTCCAGTGGGCATTGAACACTTGGCAAATCAGCTTCTGCACAATTTTGTAAGAATAACAATTGGAGAAAAGAATCTGCCGTGTTCCAATGTTCGCCAAATTATCCTGTGGGTAGAAGAACCATCTAAAAAGAAAAAGCTGTTTGAAATACTAAATGTAAGTCTAATGTTTTTCTCATAAGAACAGTTTATAAAAATACTCGTGTCTTTACACATCTCTGTCAGGTTCTCTTCTTCAGTTCTAA